ACTTTCAAACATTCACTTCCACCACTACTAACCCACAGTCGCAGTGGTGTGTACCATCTACTACACGCATAGCAACAACCTACCAAGGCTCCTTAAACAGCATTATACAAGCCCGTAGCCTCTACTCACTAGAAGGACAGAGGCAACATCACCACCTTGAATTCCACTCCAAGCCACACACCATCCTGACTTGGACCAATATGCTATTCCTCCAATGCTATTGGGTCAAATTCCTGGAACTACTTTACTGACAGCACTGTGGGTGTTCCTACACCAGATGATCTGCAGCAGTTTAAGGCAGCAGCTCACCATTTCCTTCTCAAGGGCAATTAGAGGCGGGCAATAAATGCTGACCTAGTCAATGAAGGACACACGGCCTGAAGTTAATATATTTTTTAAAAGTTTCCTCTTTGTCAAAATAACACTAACAGCCTCAAAGAAATGTGCACTTGGGTGAAAATATACAGAAGACCTGAAAAATTGTCACACAATCAACAGATTTTAAGCCCTGATGCTCCAGCAGCTATGCAACTATCTGCCCTACTGACATCAGGAATCTGATTATCTCACCTTCTGGGTCTCATGCAAACCAAAATTATGCTGATATTTTTATTGATTGTTTATGGGTAGATATTACAGTGATTTTTATCCACAACCACAAGTGGTTATGTAGGTAGTACTGCTTCCATTATAATATTAATATCAAAACATATATCACTGAACAAACAGGACCTTGTGGAGAACCCGTGAGAATGCTGCAAAGGTTTCTTCATTCATGGATAAGATTAACATCATGGTGCCCCCATCAGCTGACTACAGAAATATTAAGGAGCCCAGTGAACACAAAGCAACTGTGAAAAATTTCCATTTGCCTTACAGGTCATCCATTGTTTCAAACTGAGATTGCCAATTTAGCGCCAAGTCCAATCATTTCAATTCATTCAATTGCATCACCAGAGGGACTTGTGTTCTGACCAGCACTTTTTCTCCTGAAATGTTAATCTGGATCTCTCGGGCTGAGACAAGTGGAAATAAAAAGGCAATAAAGAAATGGGAGAGACATTAAACAAATAATTCATGCCCAACTTCATAGCAGAGGTCACAAAAGGATTCCACACATATTACAGAATCATGAACCCACTGACAGTGAAGAAGAAAAGGAAGGGAACCGGAAGGCCTAAAGAGAAATTAATGGGCGTGAAGTTGACACAACACAACAACCTGATCACCTAAATCCTAGGATTCTAAAAGAGCAGATTACAGCAATACTCGATGGAATGGTTGTGAACTGCCAAAATTCCCTAGATTCTGGAAGTGTTCTGTTGGATTAGAAAATGGCAAATGTAGCACTGAGATTACAGTGAGAGACAGCAAACAAAGGACTATATACCAATTTGCCTGACATCAGCCATAAGAAAATGCTGGAAACTCTCATCAGGGGAGTGATAACAGAACACCTAAAAATTAGGTGCAGTCAATATGGTTTTATAAAAAGGAAATCGCATTTGAAATCTCTGGATGTTTTAGAGGGAAGAGCTAGCAGGGCAAATAAAATATAACCACTAGATGTGACATATTCACATTTTGAAAGGTATTTGATAAGATGCCACAGAAAAGCCTGTTGCACAAGATAATATTTCATGAGGTGGGGGTACTATATTTGCACAAATAGAAGATTGGTTAAAAGGATAGAAACCAGCTCAAGAACGAAATGGTCATTTCAGATTGACTGGTGGTTACAAATGGGATGCCACAAGGATCGTTGCTGGAGCCTCATAGTAAGCAAATGGGCAAGAAAATAATAGATGCAGTATAAATTGGGAAAACAATGTTATTCATTTTGAGAGTGAGATTTCCTTTTCCCAAAATGGTGTAGAACTAAGAAATATTAGGTAAATGAAATGTTCAGAGGGCATTAACTGTCAAGTATAAAAACCACACAAAATGATTTCTGAAGAAGGGTCTAGGCCTGAAACGTCAGCTTTCCTGCTTCTCTGATGCTGCTTGGCCTGCTGTGTTCATCCAGCTCTACACCTTGTCATCACAAAATGAACATGTAGGTTCTTCAAACAATGAGAAATGGAAATAGTATATTAGTCTTTACTATGAGAGGTTTAGAGTACAAATAAAGAAATCTTGCTGCAATTGTATAGCGTTTTGGTAAGTTCCCAAACAAAGTAATATTTGTACTTTTAGTCTCAGCATCTAAGGATTCCAAGGCCTGAGAAAGGTCTCAGAAGATTGCAACAGTTCATTAGATTGCTTCCTAGGATATGAAGATTGTCTTTTGATGAGAGACATTTTTGAGGAACTGACAGAAGTTATGAAGGATTTTTTCTTTTCCTTGCTGGAGAGTCTACAACTAGGGACACTGGCCATATCCTGAGATTTTCTGATCTGAGATAAAGAAAAATTTCTTAGTTCAGACCTGGCAATATTTGGAAATCACTACCCTAGACTGTTCAGACGTTGGCTACATTCAAAGCAGAAATCAACAGATTATTGGGATGGGAAACTGGAGTGGATCTCAGAAACAATCATGATTTTATTACACAGCACAGCAGGTTAAAGGGGCTTTATGATCTACTCCTGTTGCTATGTTCTTAAGTAGAGACCATAATATGTTACTTGATTTAACAATTAGGAACTGAGAAGCAGTTTCTGTACTCAGAAGAGTGATGAGAATGTGGGACCAGTACCACAGTGTGTGGTCAAAACATTTTAGCATAGATGTACATAAAGGGAAGCTAGAAAAAAGCATGAGTGAGATGGAAAAGAAGAATATGTTGCTCAGGTGGGATGACATAGGGTGGGAGCAGGCTAATGCTGAGCATTAGAAGCAAAATGAAACATTTTGGCACAGAAACTTCTTTGTAATTCTATAATCTGTAATTAAGTTTATAGAGGTGAAAGGACAGTGAGCTAAACATCTGTACCGCTAAATACACCTAGATTTGTGTATGTTGAAAATTTAAAAACCTTTAAAGCTCATCTGAAAAACAAATGCATAATATAAATGCAAGTTAACATGGTAGATGTTCCAAATCAATTTAGAGAAATCAAATAAAATTTAATATTAAACCACATAAGATGATATTAAGGACAACAATCACAAAAAGTTTGGTTGAGGTGAAAAGTTTAAAGAACATTGTAAAGAAGTATAGAAAAGTTGGGAGGTTTGGACAAAAGTTTCAGTGCTGAAGGTATCCATGACTGAACGTATGGTTGTTGGTGATGGAGTTAAAATCCAGTTTGTGCTAGAGAGCAGAACTGAAGCAGTACAGATATCTCAAAGAATTGAGAGACTAGGAGGTAACAAGAGGTGGAAGTGGTAAGGACATCCAAAGGGATTTGAAAACAAAGGTATGAATTACTTGTTTTGAAATAAGCAAGAGTGATGCTTAAACAGAACTTTGTTCAACATGGACAGTAAAGTTTTGGATGAGCTTGAGTTCATGGAGGTGTAAGGTGGGAGGCTGATAAGTAGTAGTCAGGAGAGAGTTTCAGTAGTAACCAAGCTACAGTCTCAGTTCAGTTATGTAATGTGGTCCTGGTGATCATGTGGATTTGTGTTTGAAAGTTTATTCAGAGTCAAATGTGACACTATAGTTGTGGACAGTCTTTTCCAGACTCGGGCAGTTGTCACAGTCAAGATCAGAGTTCATGATAAGGGCTAAATGCACTAGTTTAGGCATCCCAATATGGGTGAAAACAAATCACTCTTTGTCGTTTTTATACCTAGGAAATAGCAGAATTGTTAACTTCATAATATCCAAGACTTGCTAAACCCTTATTCCTCTTGCTAATAAATTTAAATTGTTTTGTATTGCATTCTTATCAAATAGTACACTTGCACTGACATCAAATTTACCAGTTCTACAAATATGTTTCATGTTTGCTAACAATGTAATAATAAGGCCATTTCATTATTCAAAGACAGAAACAATTCAACGAATCTACAGTTCACAACAATTGAAGGGTTTAAAATAAACAAAATAAATAAACAAACAATAGAAGGACTCCAGAAATAGCTACCCAGCATATAATTCATTATGAATTGCCAAGATTAAGCTTCTGGCTGCTAATCAGGCGACACACCCAAGCACCAATTTCATGCACGCGGCGATCCCTCTAGTGTTTATTTAACTTTCATATAAAATTCCTTATCTAACTGTGTGTGGTGTTAGCTAGAGAAATACATGACAAGATTTGGATAACATTAAACTCAAATCCTAAAGGAAATTACTTAAAGGAAAAGAAAGGTCAATTTCCACAACATGAACTTCAAGCGACTTTCATACAATGGTTTGACATATTTTGATTTTCGCAGTAGTTTTTGTTTTAAATTTACTAAATTTCAATGTATATCTTACAGACATCAGGAGGAATTCCTTCTACAATCAAAAATGGTGTTTGGATTTTACTATGTAGATAGTAAACATTTCAAAATCATACCAATACTAAAATTTAAGGATACACTTTTTTGGAATACAAATTATGTTCAGGTACACATCATAGCACAAGTGACAGTGTAATTCTGAAAGCAATAACTACGCTCAGGTGTAAGGCATCTCAGTTTGAATCTCAAATTCTTCAGTGTAAATCAACACAGCAATTTGACGTGCATTAAAATCATCTAAAACAAGCCAAACAAAAGACTTGAGGAAACTTGTAAAAGTATGACAGCAAGATTTCGAACTTGAACATGCTCCAAAGACCAAGTATAGGTTAGATGCATATTTTAAAAGCTCAAGTCTCAACTAACATCCTGAAATTCTTACATCAATCAACTGTACTTGTGAAAGTATGAAAGCTTGGAACTTTTTTAAAAAAAGATTAGAGGTTTAATAGGTAAAAAAGTAATGTTAGTGAGGAAAGCACTTTTACATCAATTCCTATTGTCTAAACTATGCATAATTTGAATCAAGTATTAGATTTCTTTCCAGTTGAATTCCCCAACTGTATGAGCTTGCTGGAGTTTTATAGCCAAGTTTCCTTACCATCAGTGTGAAGTAAAAGACTGTTTTCAGTAAAAATGTCCTCTTCTGGCCCTTCAGGCCTTGGAGGTTCTTTCACCCGGGACATCTGCCAAGCAACTCACTCAGGCACTGATGCCAGAAACGGAACCAGCAATCCTGGGAAATACAAGGAGAATATCTCAAAACTACTAAAACAGCAGACCTTAAAAATATGTAAAAACAGGATGCCGGGCTCCAACTAGTCTTTTGCTTAATTTCGAAAATTACTTCTACGATTCCACTATAAGCTACGTCAACAGTTGTTCCAAAATCTTTTTTTAAAAATGCACGAAATGTAGTTCTCCTTAAACGAAAACAATTTCAGGGGAAAGTATTTATTATTTACCAACAATCTTGCATTTAGATTCTTAGCCCTATAGTTTCCTTGGGTTACGTACCTGCAAACCATTCCCAACCTTTATTTGTTTTTCCGAAGGTGATTTGATTACATCAATCAACAAAAAAAAAGTTACAAAGTCTCCAAACGACACCACTCGGTTATCTGTTACAGCCGAGACTGTGTTCTGCAATGAGCATTGAACGAAGCCGGATAGCCAAACTGCAAGTAAACCTGCTGTACTTACGATGCTGCTCTGCAACTCATTTCTTCACTTTTCTTCACAAGAGAGGCTTTTTTTTCCCTCTCTCTTTTTCTCCCCAGACCACAGTTTTCATCATTTCCGGATGCTAATGGTATTCAAGAGCTGGAGTAGAGCCACGGAGAGTGCAGAGTCCATACGGCTGCCGCTCACAATTGTCTTTAACTCAAAACGTTTACTTTACACTTGACTCTTAATCTGATTTATTTGCATTTTGACTTACTTCCGTTCTCTGCCAAATTGTAATCAAATATATTTCGAAATCAAAGTTAGATTCAGACGGTACTTCTATAAATGCTAAAGCCAAAGAACAAAATATTATTCGGGTTTAATATACTGATACTGTAAAACAGCTGATTCATTTGCCGGGTTTAAAAAGGTCCTATGACATCCCGATGTATGTTGCGATATTAGACAGAGTCCATCGGTTAACGCCCAGTGAAAGTCAAGGCCCCTGAAGGGACTGGCTTTAGATATTTTCACTTGAAACTTCAGCAGGAGTTAACTACTGGGTGGAATATGTGCCGGCAGAAAGAAACTATTTTCATTCAGTTCTGCACTTTGAAAGTATGCCGTCGCAACGCTGTTTACATTATAAAAGTAGGCACAACTTACTCAAATGATGCCTTTACGCGTGCAGTGACCAAAGCTCTTCCAAAACCAACGTTTAATTTCACCGTTTTATCTGTTCGCTTTCAGTGCAGCTCCTTAACTGAGATAAAGGTAACTTTCCCTGCCCCTTTCACCAAGGCTAGAAAATTCCACTGAGTACTCAGTATGCTTATCTCCAAACATCACAATTACAACATTTAAAAGGCAACTGGATAGGTATGTGAGTAGGAAGGGTTTAGAGGGATATAGACAAATGCTGGCAAATGGGACTAAATTAATTTAGGATATCGGGTCAGCATGGACAAGTTGGACCGAAGGGTCTGTTTCCGTGCTGTATATCTCTATGACTCTACTCAACTTCTTTTCTGTACCATTTTGAATAAGTTATCCTCTTCCCTCCGGAAAGACCTCAGTGGATCTCCATTTCCCAGCTGCCCTCCCCCTCCCCTATTTCTGAAGAAGGGTCCCAACCCAAAACGTCAGCTTTTCTGCTCCTCTGATGCTGCCTGGCCTCCGCTCCACACCGTTATCTCTGACTTCAGCATCGGCAATTCTTACTATCTTATCATGGTTTATAGTTGATTTTATACATACGATATATTCAGTAATAAGGGCAAGAACCTGCCCCAACACTTAGACTGTCACATGCCCGAGGAGTCCTCAGAGGGAAAATACTCTGGCTTTTCAAATAATACTTGGGAATGAAGTGGACAAGCCTTACATGTGCACAGGATCTGTTCAGATGAGGAGGAATGTGACAGACACCTGAAGGTGCTGAAGAACGCCCTCATAGGAATGGGATATGATGCTCAACTCATCAATCGCCAGTTCCAATGTGCCACAGCGAAAGACTGTAATGACTTCCTCAGAAGACAGACATGGGATACATCCAGTAGGGTACTCTTCATCATCCAGTAATTCCTGGGAGTGGAGAAACTACACCATGTTCTTCACAGCCTTCAATACATTATCGATGACAATGAGCATCTCGCCAAGATCTTCCCTAGGCCTCCATTTCTTGCCTTCAAACAACCCACCAAACCTTAAACAGACCATTGTTCACTGCAAACTACGCAGCCTTCAGGACAACATTGAGCACAGCACCACACAACCCTGTCATGGCAACCTCTGCAAATATATCAGACCATCAACATGGACACTACCATCACACGTGGGAACACCGCCCACCATGTGCACAGCAGATGCTCATGTGACTCGGCCAACATTGTCTACCTCATACGCTGCAGGCTGGGTTGCCCCAAGGCAAGGTATATTGATGAAACCATGTAGACGCTACGACAACGGATGAACGGATACCGTGCAACAATTGCCAGACAGGGGTGTTCTGTCCCGGGGGGGAGCACTCCAGCGGTCAAGGACATTCGGCCTTGGATCTTCAGGTAAATGTCCTCCAAAGCGGAATTCAGGATACACAACAACGCAGAGTTGCCGAGCAGAGGCTGATAGCCAAGTTCGGTACCCATGAGGATGGCCTCAACCGGGATCTTGGGTTTATATTGCACTACAGGTGACCTCACCACACTATACACACACACACACACACATGCGTGTGTGCATACATACACACATTCACTTACACAAACACAAACACACACACATACACAGATCCTGCCTCATACACACACTGTCTGTCTAGCACGTACACTCTCTCTCTCTCTCCTCCCCTCACGCAAACTCTCTCTCACACAAACATGCACACATACTCTCTCTCTATCCCTCACACACACACACGCACACATATACTCGGTCTCTCTTCCTTGCATGCGTGCACACACACACTCTCTCTGTCCTGCTTCACACACACACACACTCTCTGCCTCTGTCTCTCCACCCCCCCCATACACACACACTGTCCTTCTCTCTCCCCACCTACAACCCCCCACCCCCCACACACACGCATCTAAATCTAAGGGATCAATTTGTATTTGCACAAACATTCTATTTTGTTCAAAAAGCACACAATTTATAGACAGTCAGTCAATGTGGTGTTTTATAAATTTCTACTTAGAAATAAAATCAGTCTGACTCCAAACCAAAACGCAAACAGATCCTAAACAAGGCCTCACACCTAACATGCATTGTCTGACCTAAAATGTCACCTCTTCTTTACACTGATAAAACCTTTAGTCCTCACAGGGCAGTGACTTGAAAGAATTTCAGGGATTTACATTTACATGTTAATCAATTAAAACGTTCTAACTGATTAAAGATTTAACAGCATCTTAGGTTTGTTGAATACATCCTCATCAGTTTTGTGACCCTTTGATCTTTTACTGTGTTCTGTATGCTTCCTTTTCCCTTCACCTGATGAAAGGGCTATGCTCCGAAAGCTTGTGTTTTCAAATAAACCTGTTTGACTATAACCTGATGTTGTGTAATTTCTGACTTGGAAATGAATGTACTGGTCATAGTGGACATTCATTTTGAATATACAAGACAAGATGGACTACTATGTAATATACAACATAGCAGAATTAAAACCTACCTAAATGACATGTAGAGGGAAAGCCAGACACCAGGGTTCTAGTACATAGTTCTTTGAAATTGGCGTCACAGGTAGATGAGGTGATTAAGAAGGTGTTTAACATGCTTGTCTTCATTGCTCAGACCGTTGAGTAAAGGAGTTGGGACATCATGTTGAGTTTGTACAGGATGTTGGTGGGGCCTCTTCTAGAGTACTGTGTGCAGTTCTGGTCACACTGTTAAAGGAAGGATATTATTAAACTGAGGAGGGGTCAGAAAAGATTTACCAGGATTTGCCAGGAGTGAAGGGTTTGAGATATATAAATAGACTGGCTGTTGCTGTGTACAGAAGTTTTAAGTTATAAAGAAAGGCTGGATAGAGTCATAGGGCAGTACAGCATGAAAACAGACCCTTCAGACCACTCATCCATGCCAGTCAGATATCCTAAATAAATCTAATCCCATTTACCAGCATTTGGACCATATCCTTCTAAACCCTTTCTTTCCATATACTCATTCAAATGTCTTTTAAATATTGAAATTGTACCAGCCCCCAAAACTTCCGCTGGCAGCTCATTCCATATATGCATTACCAATTGTGTGAAAAAGTTACCCCTTAGGTCCCTTTTAAATCTTTCCCCTCTCACCTTAAACCTATGCCCTATAACTTTGGACTCCCTCACCCTGGGAAAAAGACCTTGTCTAATCACCCTATCAATGCCTCTCAAAATTTTATGAACCTTTTATAAAGGTCACCCCTCAGCTTCCAATGCTCCAGGGAAAATAGCACTAGTCTCTCCCTTAAGCTCAAACCCACCAACCCTTACAATGTCCTTGTAAATCTTTTCTGAACCCTCTCAAGTTTCACAAAAGGCTGGGACGTTTTCCCTTTGGAGCATAGGAGGTTTAGAGGCCTTACAGAATTTTATAAAATAATGGGCGGTACAGATAGGGTTAATGGTAGTTGTCTTTTCCCTAGGATGGGGGATTTCATGACTAGGGGGCACATTTTAAGGTGAGAGGAGAGAGATTTAAAAAAGACACGAGGGGCAAATTTTTTACACAGTGGGTGGTTCACATCTGGAATGAACTTCCTGAGGAAGTAGTGGAGGTGGGTACAATTACAACATTTAAAAAACATTTGGATAAGTACATGAATAGGAAAGGTTTGGAGGGATATGGGCCAAGATCAGGCAGGTGGGTCTAGTTTACTTTGGGACTATGTTTGGCATGGACTGCTTGGACCAAACGCTCTGTTTTCATGCTATATGACTCTCTGACGATGACTGGGACTTTTTTTACAGGAGCGTAGGAGGTTGAGGGGTGACCTTCTTGAGGTTTATAAAATCATGAGAGGCATAGATAAGGTGATTGACAAGGGTCTTTTCCTTAACGATGGGAAGTTCAAAATTAGGTGTCATGTTTTTAAGGTGACAGGCAAAAGATTTAAAAAGTACGTGAGGGGCAATATTTTTGCATGAGAATGGTTCATGTGTGGAATGAACTGTGAAAAGTGGTGGATGCACGTAGAGTTATAACATTTAAAATACATTTGAATAAGTTCATGAATTGGAAGGGTTTGGAGGGATATCAGCCAAGCAGGTGGGACTAGTTCAGTTTAGGAACATGGTCAGTGTGGACTGGTTGGATCGAAGAGTCTGTTTCCATGCTGTATAACTCAATGACTCTAAAATTGGGAAGGGATGCTTGCAGGTATGGTTCAAAAGGTTACATTTCGAGGAGACTTTTGAAATAATATGACCATACCAATACGTCTTCAGTGTTATTCCCAAGTACTTGGAGAAAGTATTGGTTCAGCTATGATTTCATGTTGGGCATGTAGCCCAACTGAACAGCAATAGGTGACAACAAAATGATAAAGCTGGATACAAACTAAAAATACTAGAAACTGGTTCCATGTTTCAAGAAGCAGTTTACCTACAACGAAAAGGAAGAGAAAGTAGAAAATTCCAGAAAGGCCATTTAATTGAAACATACCCGATTTAGGAGGGAGTTGACCTGGTGAACACTGAGAGATTATTTTCAGAGTTTGGGAAATGGAGAGGATGGGAACACAAGATATGAGATCAATTTTTTAGGACTGAAATGAGGAGAAATCCCTTTCTAAAAAGTGTTGTGAATCTTTGGAATTTTTTACGCCAGAATGTGGTAGCTGTTCCAATATTGAATATATTGAAGACTGCAAAAGGCAGATTTTTGGTCCCTTGGGGAATTAAAGGCATATGAGGAGTGGACAGGGAAGTGGTGTTGAAGACCAAGAATTGGTTGGACCAT